TTAAGCTAGGTATGAATATTAATATATCAAAATGTTATTGATCTATAGGCCATTTGCACTAACAGGTCATGTGACATCATTTTTATGACAATGGAAGTTATGATTTTGCCTTCAAAAAACCATTAGTGGGTCATATCTTAAACAAGATAATAGTGATTTAGTTTTTCAAACCTGCACCATTTTCTTAAAATAAGTAAGTTCATAGCTGGTCGCGTGACCAAACTTTGACTCTCGCACTGAACTAAGCTGGACTTTTAGAAGTTCCATTTCATAACTGAGGATACTACATCTCTGATCTGCCAGTGTCTGTGTTGATTTATCCTGTATTATAAATTAAAAAACTATGGTTTATCTTTTAAAATAAATACCAAGAATATCATCCTGTAAAATTAAAATTATAAGAAATGAACACTTATTATTATTATTATTATTATTATTATCATTATTATTATTATCATTATCATCATCATCAACATCTAATCATCATTATTACAAAACAGGATACATACCACTTCTGTAAAAGGTTCACTCTCTTCTGCATCTTGGCCACCTCCATCACTTTTCACTAATGATGATCTGGTAGCATAATGAAATGGAAAGTTAGATGACTGCAAATGAATATTTGTTTGCAGTAAGGTATGTACCATGTTGGTGCTACATGTAGCTTCAGGTTCCAATCCAGATTGCTCTTGAAAGCCACCAGTGCATGTCTTCATGTTGGGCCTGTGAAAACCAATGATAATAGTTTTTGGAAGTTTCACATCAGACGTCAATCACTCATCTTTTTTGCTGCTATACTAATCTTGCATCATTCACAACAGTGTTTACCAAAGGATATGAAACTTTGATCACAGTATTTTCTTTGGTAAGCGTTGCTTTGGATTTCAGTCGTACTATTACTTCTAGTAATGTCTTAATAAGGAATATCAACAACAAGCTATCAATTGACAAGGCTTTAGTCACGACCATCCATTGCACTCAAACTATAAAAGATTACACAGCATCTTACCTCCTCCAATTGACTGCTTGTAGACGGGTTGATCTGGATATCTTGTGAGTTTCCAGCTTGTACGGTTTGTGCCTGCAAATATTCAATAGTACACAACGCAGAAGCTTACACAAGCACACCCAAATATACCCTGCAATTGAAATTCTTACCGCCTGAATGCTTTGGAAGGATAAACAATGCTGGTCACTTCTGGCTCTTGCAGTGTATTGAGGCGAGCCTTCGCAGATCTAGCAATCTGTGAAAAACAGCAAAACAATTTGCGATTTCTTTAACTTTGATGGTACGGGGACCAATTGTGAATCACAGAAAGAAAAATCACATGAAATGTCTCGAGCAGGTGTGAGAATACTTTCTTACCATTTGTGCTTCCCTTCTCTTTGTAGATGGCAGCTCGTCATCTTCTTTTCGTTTAGGGTGCATTGATGGGAAAACACAAACCCCAATTTCATCTTTTTTAAAATCTCGCTTTAAGTTCACTTCTGTGTTCAATGGCCTTTGAAAGTCGTCTTGAGCAAAGTGTTTGCAACACAACGAGGAGGTCTTCCCTGGCACCCACATCTTCCTCCTCTCCAACACGAAGTTGACCCACTTATTTCACCTTTTTAATCGGACACACATCACCGAAAAATGGAATTTTATGCATTGATATATTCTTATCTGGGTCCTTTTTGTTGCCACAACACGCTGCAACGCATCTCTCAGGCATTTTCGCCGATCTAAATAAATCTCGGCTTGGGAAGAAGAGATGTGACAGGCCGAACAGATACAAGTTCCTGAAGTTACCTCACAGATCGTATCCTGCCGAGAGGAGACTAATGTGAATGGTGGACCAAAATGGCGGCAAATTTCGAAGACTTTAAAAAATCATAAAAAAATCATGTTTTGTTCAAATTGCAAAATTTTTTTCGTAGAAGTTCCTGTTTAAATGTGTACTTTCAGACAAGGAAATAAAATTTTTTAGGTTATGGGCAATACGCCAATTCAGGAAAAAACTGGAAGTTGCATGGAAGCGAGGCCTAAGGGCCCTTCGGCCTTTGCGGCGCCTGGCGGTAAAAACAAATGGTTGTCGAAAAAAGTTTCAAGACCTAGCAAGTAAATATTGAAGTGGTCAAATTGACACCCGAAAAAAGAACGGGAGCTTAAAAATTTGCAGGTTAAAAGTAAACCAGGTAAAATTCTGATAAAAATGTAGAAGAATAAACCAAGGCGGTAACAAGAAAGTCCTTTACGAAAGTTAAGTTTAAGGTGAAATGATTTTATAACTTTACAAACCGACCGATAGATACGATAAATTCATTTGTTTCCCGGCCCACAGAGATAAGAACCTTAATGTTATGTCTGAAAATAGAGATAAAGGTTATGATCCTGATCCAGGCAAAGGCTTCACCAGGCCCATCTCCAGTGTCACTGACCGATACCCTAGGTCACCGTAAGGATTGCGGCAAGATTACTGAAAAAATCTCTCTCTACGCATGCAATTGCATGGAAATCTTGATCATGAAGTATCTAAACCTGTTGATAACGACGTTGTTTACGTTAGGCCATGGCTTTTTGTTGTTCCTCCTTCAAAAAATATTTTGTCAAATATAAAGCACGTAGGATTGTTAACCCAGTTGGAAAACCCAAACTTATGACTAGCCGCATATGATTTATTATGTCCTGCTGGTAGGAGCGGCTGCAGTTGCCATGTCTTGGCAGTTAAATGGAAATTGGATGAAATGTCATGGAACAATGAAATGAAAAATCAATGCGAGAATGACGTTCCCTGCACTTCTTAGTCAAGAAAATGGGGAATTCCAAGTAGATGAATAGTAGAACATTAGCGGTCAATCATGGCCTTAAAGCTTATCAAGCCAAGGCACCATGCATACACACCAGGTCATAAGAGGAGGGGCGTGTTGTCTACTTTTTATGATCCCTGTCGTTTGACATTGAGAAAGTTAGACCCCTATGCTGTTGAAAAACTCAAAGTGAACATTGTCAGAGGTAACAAAGGTCTTCCCTTTTAAAAGATGAATCCCAATGCTTCTGATATAGTACTTGTGAATTCCCTAATTGAAATTGCTGCTAAAGGATTTGCTCTACAAATGGAAATGAAAGATTTTATTCACATCTGTTTCATCGAAAGACAATAGTACATATACTTCTTTTCTCCAACCAAATCCATGTTTAACAAATACAACAGTGTCTCAAGTCAATTTAAAAATCACAGCCAACAATACACACAGACAATAGCTGATGTGACCACAAATCAATTTCATGATATCATGTGTCAAAAAAAATACAATCTTGTCTCACTGAGCCAATTAAACACAGTCAACAATACAGATACTGTAATTTACCTGAAATTGAACACAAATCATTTAATAGATCAGCCCTTCAGCATGGATCAACAAGGAATTGTTTCAGCAGCAGGTACTTTTTATTATGGCATCATGGAAGGAGAAATTAGTACACCTTTAGAACTTTTTTGACCAATACATTTTACCAGAATTAGCATACCCCAGGCTCAAGTTTGGCCTGTGGTATGACCTCAAGTTAAGATAGTTTTTGTAAATCAAGCAAGTCGGCTTGGGTTATTGGTAGCACAGGTCTTTTATTCACTCTGATCCTACATGTGAAGAATCCCTTATTATAATCTGCCATGTCACAACCTGTAACAAATTTAATGTTTGCACACTAACTATTAATTGTGTGTGATATTATACCTTATATCCATTTCCTTCCCCCCAAAAGTAAAAATTTGAAAAATATTTTTTCCAGGTGTATTTATTTTTTGGAAAACGTCGTCAGTATTCACTTGAGTGACATCTCTCACACTGCTATAATACGTTAGACGGGAAACGCTTGGTTCTATAATACTTCCAAAACGCTAAACGTAAAGTAAAGTTTCATAATCTCGAAACCCAGTGTAGACTAAATGAATATCATCTGGGTTTTACAAAACGCATTCCAGACCAAACGTGAAACACTACTGCTTCTTCCTTAATCCGTTTTAAAGGATTTCCACTTCTAAACGTTTCGCTTCAACAATTTGTTCGATCGCTGGAAGACCTATAAATTAACAGCTTGTACTTTATCACTCAATGACGATTCTTCTGACCTTTTTTTTCTCATGGGATACTTTTCCTTATGTCCTCGTTATTCTTTAACATTTCATTTGGCTGAAGACGAAGCAGAAACAGCAACGGATGCCTCCTGTTTTTAAGTCGACCTTTCTATGTCCGGCGAGACTAATTCTGTAGTCGTTTGGTACGAAATGCTCTGAACAACAATATTCCTTTTTCCCTTCTTCTACTTGATTCAGGATCTGATGAAACTTTTTTGGTATACAGGTGAGATCCGGCCGATTTTCACTTCGATTATGTTATGTGGGTGCAGTTTTTTGTTATTACGTCACTATTTTAAGTGTGAGGGCCCTTAGGCCTCGCTTCCATGCAACTTCCGGTTTTTTCCTGAATCGGCGTATTTAAACAATTTTGTTGCCTGCATGGGGTACATTACTGTCAGGAGCATTTTCAGGAGCAAATGTTATGATAAACTTTAATCACAAATAGATGTGTATTGAGCATGTAAACATGCTGGGTTTTTATGACTTTTATTATACAAACCTTTGAGAATTTTGTCTGGTTCAGATTTCTCGCACGCCTGTATCTTCACCATCATTCGGGTAGTAAAATCTTTGATTTTTTCAAACATATAGTGTGGTTTATTTTCTTGATGCTATATAACAAAGCACTTAACGACTGCTCTCTCGGGAAACAGTCAGTTTTGTTTCCCTTGAATCTCCGTATATCCCTTGACGTAAGGAGTAGTCGTTAAGTGTATATTATTTACCCCCCAAACTTTTTACATAGGCATTGTTTTATTGTCTCTTGGGACTTCAATATTATTGTTGTCCCAAAAGAAGTTAGGACAATCCTTATGTTAAATTTTTGGGAGTAAACAATGTGTACTATGGGGTCTTGAAAACAGCAAATACATATATCTG